ATAGATTGTCTCTACCCCAAATCTATACACTTTATATTTATATCTCTCTCCTAATAAGGATTATCTCTTTCATGAGAGCCAAAGCGGGTACCCCCCACTCTCTCATATTTGATATCTCTCTCCCACATTGTGAAAGAATATAAGGGTTTGGGCTATGGAGTTATTCCATCTCTCATCTCTCAACTATGGATTTATGGCTAAGGGTTTTAGGGTATAGCAAAACGAGGATCAGTCTCTTTCAAACTAGGTTGATAAGGGAATTCATATAGGGTTTGAGTTTGTGATCAAACAGGTTCATGTTCTATTAGTGTGGCTTGACCTAAACTCGCTTTTCCAATTGAGATTGAAGGTTGATCATTGATCCCGCGTTATTGGATGGTGATGACTCGGTATGGGGTGTAATAAGCCTGGTTGATGTAACCTCCAATACTCTTTTTTTGTTTATTGCAATATTTAATTATACTGGTTTTATATTCCCAAGCATATTGGTTTAATGACATCAAGATTTTTAAAATATTGGATTTGTTAATTTAATTTTATTTGAAGCAATAGTTATTGTAATAAGACAACTTGTAAGAATATTTGTCAAAAAAAAAAAAGGGTGAAAAAAAAAAAATATTGTCCGACAAGATCACATTAGTCTATCTTTCAATAACATAAGCAAATAATATAAACTATTGTTAATAAATGTTAATAATCTAATTATGATAAGGTATTTGGTATCATAATTGTACTTTGTTTATGATAACTATTAAAATGACATCTTATTCTAATTTATTATAATTATATTATATACATAAATTAATTGAGTTCATTGTCAAAAAAAATAAATTAATTGAGTTGTATCACTCGTCAACAATAATGGATAATATAATTATTAGATATTATTGTATATTTAATAATTTATTATTTAATAATTACATAATATTATAATTAATTATCAATATTATAGTTAAATATTACTTATTATATTATGATCATATATATAGTGATAAATATATAAAATTATTGATAAATAACAAAACTTTTTTTAAACAGTAAAAAAAAAAAACAAAACTCACTGATTCATAGTTTCAAACTCTTCAAGCTTTGTGATAATGGTGATGGCGCGAGGGCTGCTGTGGGCATCTTTCTCCTTCATCAACCTCGGTTTTTCATGGGCTTCCTGCGCTTTCTCTTCTTCAAGAGGAGTTGTTGTGGCTTTAGATAGAAGGGGAACACAAGTTTTTTATTCCCCAACTTTCACTAAAAGCTGCCGCTCACCTTCCCTTAGTGCTGCAAGTTTGTTCAAGTGAATACTGGAAATGAGAAAACGAAGCGCTCCAACTTTCCCTCATCTCAAGGTCATCAAACGGCTGAAATGAGCAGTATGGTGCAAGTACACGCTACTTTCACCCCTTTTACACATTTTTCAAACGCTACCTAAAAGCGCCCCAAAAGATATTTATAAGTTATATTTTACTTGATTCAAAGTTTAGAATGTAGTACAAAGAAAAAGAGTATGATTAATCCTAGGGAAGGTTTACCAAATGCCTACACTTTTGTTATAAGAAGCCACAATTCACCTAAAAGTTGTCTTGAGTGCATTATTGATTGAGCTCAAAATAAATAAAATTATTATTGTGTTTTCTAAAGAGAAATGACACACACTTGGCCACCCAATTTCATATTTAATGGCGATGAGTGAATGGGCATAACCATGATAAAGATACTTAGTATTCCTGTAATTATTTGTGTTTAATTATTTAAATTTTATGTTTAGTTTTTTGAATTTTACATATGATTTTCCTTCACCTATTTGTTGCACAAAAAGTATACATTAAACCCTATTTATTTTTATCACAAATTTTTTTTTACTTTTGGGTAAATCGGTAGGGATTTGGACTCCTACCCCCTTTCTATTAATAATAATAATAAAATGTTGTTTTAATGTTAAAAAAAAAAGAAAAAGAAAAAAGAAAAAAAAGAGACCGTTTATGTTGCATTTATCAAAAGTTCAAATTTTTAATGATTCTTGCACTAGAATAACTGACTGACGTACCAAGTGTACCCCATTACTCTGTTTACATGCATGTTACTCTGTTTACATGCATGTTATTTAATTTTGATGCCCAAGTATCATCAAATTGATCATCTTGACATCAAGATGTATGGACATGAGAAAAAAGTGGATTTCAAGTTTTGAAAATAGTATATTTTGTAACGCATTTTTTTACTGTCAATTTTCAAGATTTTCAAGTTTTCATAGATATGTCGATCTACACTATTTTTTAAGCTTTAAACTTTATAAATAACGATGAAAATATATTTTAAGACTATGACAAATATTTTCAATATTGAAACCATATTTCTCGATACTATTTAGATGTAGGCTCTAATTTGATTGTTTAGAGCCTAGGCTCTATACAAACGGCACCCCTTTAAGTTTTCACTTTAAAGCAGTTTGAACGAAGTGAAAAATGACGTTATGATTAAGGCAAATTGGGTAGGTGTGGGGTCCACTGGTGGTATGGTTGGCATGTCAAATGGGACCTACACGGTGCAAAACATGTGTGGGTCACACGAGTTCAACACCCAGACACACGTGCGAGCAACACGGATCCCATGCTGTTGTGGGCTTGTAGGCACAAGGCAAGTAAAGAGAGATCTCAGCTTTTTTTTTATATTTTTTTTGTTTGCTTTAGAGATTGTGCCGTTTGAGAATGTCCAAAAGCCATTTGAACACTCGCGTGTACACTATTCTCCTGAGTACAATAACTGTATCCGGCAAAATAGCTACTTAGATATATTTTTTGAGTTCAATGACTAAACTGCCCAAAGACAAATGATCCATGATCTTCTTTTTTTCTTTTATTTTTTAATACGTTAAATGCTCCATGATCCCTTTTGATAATGAGACCGTCACCGAAGTGCTCCTTTAAAAACCATACTTGCAAGTTTCAATACGTAATGAATAAGGATTCACATTTCTTATATTTATAATCCATATTAATAAAACCGATCCCAATTAATTGAGAAAAGACCATGATGGTGATGATTATTTATAATAAAGAGTGTAAGTCATATGAGTTAAGGATAGAGACTGTTATTATAAATAATAAAAAGCAACATATCAAAGTTAAAAAAAAAAAGAAAAAAAAAGAAAAAGAAGAGATATATAGAATTAATGAATATTTTAATACCTTACTCATATTTTTTATTTAGTTTCAAATCATCTATAAAAAAAAACATGATCTTGAGTTGGAATAGTTACAAATATATAAAATGTTAAATGGTTTATCTAGGTATTTTGATAAAATTCTCAAAAAAAAGAGATATTTTTTTAAAAAAATTCCCTCGAGTTCTATCAATTATGAGAATAACTTTTGTACATCCTCGCACAAATTTTTGCAATAATGGTGTGTGAACTGATGCACTTGTTCCCATGTTATCTCTCCTTTAAAATTATCTTAGAGATGAATTTGTGAGTGACTTTTTAATGTTTTTCAAGTGATTTTGAATGTGTTTCGTATCCTGTGCACACTAAATTTCCCTGAATAAATTAACAGCCTAAACAGGTTTTAGCTGCATCGCATGCAACCCCACCCCTTCTCTCAAACACTAGACTTACATTACTGCTACATATACAAGAACTAAGCGAATTACATGCATCCAAGATGGGGCAACAGGTTTGATAAAAAAACTGGTCGGTGTATGACTGGTTTCAATCGAAAAGTTCAATTTTGACTGATTCTACTAACCAATTAACATCGATAAACTTTTTTGAACATATTTTACATTTAAAACTATTATTGTTATATTTTTAAAAATTTGGTCAAATGGGTTTGACTCGGAGTTAAACTTATTTTGATTAGATTAGATCCTACACCTAAGTTTCATCTAAGTCAGTAAGGATTTGGGCCTCACTTTTTGATGAGAATAGAGTCCGACACCTCACCATAAGATTCAAAAGTACTACCACCAAAGCCCTCAAGCCATTTTTAAAAAGGGTTTGTACAGGTTTTTTAACATAAGGTCTTGGTCTTCAGGGGTTAGGGGAAAATGGTTGTTCTTAAACTTAAGAAGACCGTATTTATCATTTTCATTATGATTTTAAGGAGAAATGTTATCTAAAAAGCAGCCTTGTTGTCATTATTTAATGCTAGAATGCTATTTTTAAGCAAACAGGCCTTAATCAAGAAAGTTATAAAAAACAGGGGTACATTTCCTCAAAAGGCCAAAAAAAGAAGGAAAATAAATACGCCATCAATTCAAAATGCTGATAAAGAGAAAAGTTGGACTCTAGGGCTGGGAGGCCCACCCCGGTTGTCATGTCCTAAGAAAGTATAGCCTAGGCCACTGTGGCTCGGGTGCTGGGCTAGGGATAGTGCTAGCCTAGTTTGGCCGGCCTAACCCTATTTTTCTTTTTGTTTTTTTTTTATTCATTTTTCATTTGTTTTTGGCCCCGCCCGATCTGCCCGAGCCCAATGGGGACAAGGACTGAACCAAGACTGGACTAGCTTAGGCTTGGCCCCTTGCCACCCCTCGGACTCAACAGAACTTCATTACCTGAGTCCATTCTCTTTTCTACCATCAATTATTTTAATACACGGTGATAGGTCCAAAGATTACAAACATTATCTAGTCTTCGTTTTTCATAATCACACCGTAAGGGCTGTAACCTGGTGCTTCTTTAAGGGCTGTAACCTGTAACCTGGTGCTTCTTTAAGGGTTGTAACCTTTGTAAGGCCCTCATGTTGGTCCTGCCTAAGCAAAGGCTCGGGGGGGAGAGGGGTGAGTTGGAAACGGTCTTCAATTTTTTGGCTTATACACAAAGTAAAAGTAATCACTATTAAGATTCAAATTAACGCTTGCACTGATTACTCGAGTTTTTTACCGTCACACCAACAATTACCCCCAACAAAGTACCTTCTTAGATATAGAAAATAAATATAAAGGAATATAAGGGTATTATAGTCATTTTTCATCCTGACAAATTCTTTCTGAGAATTCAAGACCCAAGGAAGACGTTACCCGCCCCAACTCTTCAACCGTCGTACTTCCTTCACGCTTCAACTCTCCCTCTCTCTCTCTCTCTCTCTCTGCCGGCGCCTTCTCTCTATACGGACGACTTTCTGGCTTTCCGGCGAGTCTTCTGACTTCTCCGGCGTTTTTTGCTTATTGTCCCTGCGGTTTTGGTGTCTAATTTGGCTGGAACCGCCTGCACCCTGTCTCTCTTGCTATTTCTCTCATGTTTTTTTTCCAACGAGAAGGCGGGGTTTTTCCGTGATGCCGGTTTCTCCGTCTCTCCCCATGGGTTTTCCCGGAAAAATGTCATTTTTCCGACCATGAACCCAGTTACTAGGACGATTCTCCTGGTTTCTCCGGCAAAAATGGTGTTTTTTCCTGCAAAACTGGAGGTTTTCCGGCCATGAAAGCAGAGGGTCTCTGCTACGCGGCTGGGGCTGCCCTAGCCCATAGCTGCATCGACCTTTCGAGAAAATGGGCAGCCAATAACTTCAACCCCATCGAGCTCCTTGCCCTAGTCGCTCTTCTCGACTCTGTTCTCCTTTGTGCCCTAGCTTCCTCTTCATGGCCTTCTCTTCCACCTCTTCTTTCAAACCCAGATCGCCATTTTCTGAGAATCCTTGTTCTGAGTTCTGGTCTTAAAGTAATGGCGGGTTACATGTATCAAAAATCCCTACAAATATCACCCATTTCAGTTACAGTGCCCTACCTTGCTTTCACCCCTGTAATGCTTTTGCTCACTGGTTTTCTTCTTATGGGTGAGGTTCCAAGCCATGCTGGTATGGTGGGTGTTGGTGTTGTTACAATTGGTGGGTATTTGTTGGCTTTGGAGAAGCATGGGGAGCCTTCAGATTCGAAGAGAGCTAGAGGAGAGGGTTTGCCTGAGCTCATGTCTAATGGAGATGTTACTTCATCGCTTAACAAGAAGGTATTTTCGAGGTAATTAGGTGCCCTAGAAATTCTTTCTTTCATGCACAATTGGTCAGCATTTTTCCTTTCTTGAATTTGGTGTGATCGTTAACATGTGTAATTGGTCATATCTTTTCTATTTTTTTTGCATTTAGGTCTTATGATGCCTTTATTGTAAAACTCATAAAATGGATCATGAGTTTATCATTTGGTTTTCTTAAGTTATTTTTATTGTGGGAATCCTTTTTCATGGTGGTGGTTGTAACTCTCAAGCACTACCTTGTTTTTATTTAATGAGTTTTGCTAAGGAATTGTGTTTCTTTTGAAATCTAAGTTAGCTTTTTTAACTCTCGGAGATTTCTGTAGAGCCCATTCCCTTGCATTGTGATTTTATGTTTGCAAATTTTAGCATTTCAGATTTAGTGTAAATGTGGGCCTATTGCGTGATAGGATCGTTGGCATAGGAATTCTGATTTGTCTTCTGGACCTTTTTTTTCTCCCTCCTTATACTCTAATTTTGAATCTATCAACGGATTCCTCAGTATGTTCTCATGATTATCAAAGGAGTTAGGGAACTTCAGTTTAGAATTAGGCTGATATTGCAGTATTTCTTATGGTGACTCTTGTCATTTAACTTTTATATTTGTAATCTTCTACTTTTTGGTTTCTTTTGGTTTTATTATTTATTTTTGGATTAATGTTGGTTCTTAAGTTTCATTTCTTTGATAAATTTCCTATTATTGGTTTCTATTGATATATATATATATATATATATATATAAGATAATACAAGAGTAATGATAGTGTTCACCTTTTGGTTTTTTACTTTATATGGGTTTGTAGTTTTCAGTGGAATTTTGTCATTTGAACTTTATACAATAGGTATGGAATATCTTGTTATAGAATGTTCTTATAGTTTTTCAATACGATATTCTGCATTCTAATCATATATTTGTTTCATATTTTCTATTTTTCTGATAAATTGTTTTTTTTCCAGAGTTATGGGTTTTTTCATTTTCTCTTTGGATAATATTGTGGTTGCTTACTAGGTTATTATGTTTCTGATGGTTTGGATTGTTAGCTTGAGGACCAATTGTAGAAAGAGGTTGAATCACTTATCTAAGAACTATTTTGTAGGTTTGCTTCAAGTCCATTATTTCAGCCATTCCTTGCCCTTAGAAAGGAAGAAGGAAGCCTCTTGATGCTCGGTGTGGCTGGATTGCTTAGCATTAGTAACAGGTTTGTGAGTTCTGCACTCTCATTTGGTTGCGTTGTTATTGTTATCGATAGTCTCTGATCTCTAAGATGCAAAGGCCTTTTTATTTTCATCTTTCTTATTTAAAAATGTAATATGTGTGTTTGCCTGCTTTCTTGTATGATGTATCTATGTATTTACATGTAGGAAGAGTGTCTGTATCTTTTTCACAGTTCTATCCTTCGTAAAGTTCAAGTACTTAAGTTTAAATTACTTATAATTGCATAGTTTTTGGGACCTTAATTCAGCATGCTTGATAAACTTTTCCCATGTACAAGTGGGTTTTTTGGAGTTCATCAGATTTCCTTGATATAATGTTTAGTAACTCAGAGAGGCCTGATGCTTATGCTTGTAATGGAGACATTCTCAACTCGCATAAATTTACCTTTGACAAGTGGCTGATGCATGCGCTTTCCTTTTCAGCATGATCACGTAGTTTTTACTAATTAAAAAATTAGGATTTACATCATGATTGATGGGTATAATTATTCAAAGTCTTGTTCCGCAAACTTTTCAAAGGGAATCTTAAATCTGCAATAGTAAAAAGAGAATTTTAAATTCAATTCTCTCAAAATCACATTTAATGAAGGTAATGGCAGGTCCAACTTTTGTCATAAATGGTCAAGGGATTTTGACTCATCACCTTTTCATAAGATTTGTATTTCCATCTCTCTCTATCTTTTTTCTCTATATTTCTTTATTTAATTGATCTTGCTACCTCATACTCTTTTTTTAAAATTTATTTAAATTGAAATGTGGGGGTTATGTGAAGAAATGTTATCATGTACATTGTAAAATGAAATAAATGTCTCTGTTATATTATTCATTTCCTGGAAAAATATCTTTAGTATATTATTTATTACTCTCAAATTTTGTTCGAGTAAATTTATTTGTAAGTAGAACAAATACATTTTTAATATATTAAAAATTATGAGATTCACAAACTAATAACAGGATATGGTCTCCTAGAATGACTGTTCTAATTTCTTAGCTACTTGATCAATCATAGGATCCAATTACCATTTTATAGGTGGCCCAACAGAAAGAGGCAGACCTATATATTTTACAAGGAGATTTACAGTATCTCCCCAGTGTGGCCACATACTTGACACCACTATCTTTTATTTTAATGCCCAAATCTTGTCTCAGAACTGTAGTAGGAATTAGTAATGGGGGGAAGTGATATGTGTAGACAAGAATTAGGCATGTATATATAAAACATGGGTCAAGAATGTTGCGCCTTGAATGCAGTCTTTAGTGGAAGTACAATTACACATAAACTGAAGCTTCTTCTTGTGGGAGAGAGATTGTGTACTAAACGAATAGCTAGACAATCCATGTCACAAAATGGACAATTTGGTTCAAGCTCTGCTTTGTATATAGCAAAAAGAATAAAAAATGTTGACAAATTTGCTATGCTCAAATAGTTCTTAGCATTTACCTAATGCCACCAAACTCAGACCCAACCTTCAAGGAAAAAAGACATATATCACCCTCTTTGTAATTATAATTCAAATAAACCCTCAGGTCCATGGAAAGCTCATGGACCCCCTCCTAGTTATAATAAAAGGCGTTTTAACCCCCTCTGCACCATTTTCATTGTCCAAATTACAACATTTATACTTTTAAGTTTTTTAATGACCCCATCTTTCAAGCCCTAGAAAAGCTTCCCCTCTCTCTCTTTCTTCCTAACCTGTGAACCCTTTCCTATCTCCCTCTCTCCCAACCTCCCATGAACGCTTAGCTCTCTTTCTCATCTTGTGACCCTTACAAGTTAGTTAAAAGAGGCATCTCAAATTCCATTTATATGATTGGTTGCTAGAAAAAAGGAAAATGGTAAATGTTGTAATTTGGACAACGAAAAAGGTAAGGAGACCTTAGGGTTATTTGGGATTTTAATTATAGAGAGGGGGTATACGTCTTTTTCCTATAAAATTTTTCTACTCGTTGCTGCATTTTGTTTGGTGCAATCTATACTCCACACTTGGTAAATCGATTGATTTGTAAAGATCATTATGGAAACTGTTGTGAGGAGAGAAAAATATTTTGAGCCCAATATTGGTCAACTTACCTTGATAATTGTGAATAAACCCATTAAAAGAAAAACAATTAGTCATCAATTTCTGACATAACCATAGTGCATTTGTTCCTATCTTTTCCTGTTATGTTTGTATAAATCTAACTCCTAACATCTGATCCTCTTAGTTTTTTTCTCAATTAATGTTTATTTTGTCTGAAACATTTTAATTTAATGATTTTATTTGATAACCTTTTCCCCAAAAGTGAAATCCTAACTATCTTGAGCATTTGGTTTGTTTTTTTTCTTGCATATAATTAAATTTAGTAATAGATATATTCTTATATTTACTTCTAGATATTTTATTCTCTCTTTTGTTTCTTGTTTATGTCCTTTTTCAATTTCCTTCCTATTCTCTTGTATGGTTTTCTTTAGCTGTCATGGAACCTCTCAAACAAAAGAAAATCTTTTCATTTCCGGTCTCCTCTTGATGCAGGAAAGTTTTGAGGGTACAATAAAATCAGTAAGAAACAAAGCCAAACAAAAGCATAATTCAAATAAATCTGGGGTTGCTTCTCCATACCCTACTCTAGGATTCTAAAAGCCTAAGCTTTTCTCTCTTTCAATTAAAAAATCATGTGGAATTGCCTCCTCAAGGTCCTACACACCTGATATATATTATAATTTAATGTTTCAAGTACAAAAAGTATCCAAACAAATAATACATTGGCGCATATATCCTAACTTAAACTTAAATTTCACAATAACAGTTTTACCACTGTGAACAGTATCAGTACTCATGAATAGTCATTCAATTACTATTCATTAAGTAAATAAAATAAAAATAAAAATCCTAGAATCCCTAAAAAAGTAAAAACCCTAGAAGTAAATTCTAAAACTAAAACTATAATATACATCATTCGAAATTGAATAAAAATGCAAAATATGAATAATTTTGCCCGTTTTTATTCGCCTCTGATTGGAGAAAACTTGTACTTGAGTTTTGAAGTGTGCTACGATGAATTCAGTGTCAAAACCACCTTTTTCAATCGTCCGTTTCTTAAGTATTATTCATGATAAAAAGAATTTATTAAGAAACGGATCCTCATATATAGATATTGAGGAGATGTAAATTTATCAAATTCTGCTATTATTGACTCTCATTAAAAACCATGTTAGATACTCTTAACTTCAATTTTTTGGTATTTAGAGGCTTTCTTGACATTTAGTTCATTACTGTTTGAATACATGGCCACAATTTGCAGATTCTGAGTCGACCATGCTTCCACTGCACTACTCTGATATCGATGCCCTAAATCTTTTAAATGTTCCACCTCTTTAATATTAATGAGATCTTTAAAGGCCATGATTTGGATCAGTACTCCTCCTGTCTTCTCCCCATATTCTTCACCCTCTTCCAAAATCTCTTAATAAGCATCTTGATCCTTATCATAGATCGGAGCAATCTTGTAGTTCATCTGAGTATATATCAAAAATTGGTGGTGAATCTCAATCTACAACTTGCTGATTTTCGATGTAATCTATGTCAAAATCAAGAATCTTTTCCTTCAAATTGAAAACCTTAGATGTTTCCAACGTTTAGGTCTTTTGTCACTATCTTTGACACTCGACTCCACACATGGAGCATGAAAGTGAAAGGTTTGTACTCGAGATCCTCTTGGGCTTAGAGATTACCGTCTTGCCCATTATTGAGGCTTGCGAACAGCTGCATCAGTTGCTGAACTTGTCTTTCATGTTCTACAATTCTCTTATCTCTTGGATCATAGAGCGGATCTACGAAATCCCCCTTGCACGACCCCTTCTTTCCACCATGGGATCGCCAAAATCACAAATCCTAGGCAGATGATCAACAAAAGCCTGTTGAAATCAACAAGATCTAGGCTTTGTTGTTGATCTAGGGCACAAAAATTGACTTTACAGTACTATCTGCATGGATCGTGGGCTCTGATACCAATTTGATATAGGAAAAATTTAAGAGAATAGTAAAATTAACAAGAAACAAAGCCAAACACAAGCATAATTGAAAGAAACCTAGGGTCTCTTCTCCATACTTGAAGCTAGGGTTCCAAAAGCCTAAGTTTTTCTCTCTTTTAATTTTTAAAAATCATGTGGAATCCCCCCCCCCCTCAAGGTCCCACACGCCTCTTATATAGTATAATTTGATGTTCCAAGTACAAAAAGTGTCCAAACAAATAATGCATTGACCAATATATCCTAACTTAAACTTGAAATTTTTGTAATGCCAAAGGTTCAAATTTTTTTTTGTAATGATAGTTTTACTCTTGGGAAAAATACTCATTAATAGTAATTGTGAAAAGTACTCATAAAAATAAAATAAAATAATAAAAATCCTAGAATCTCTAAAAAACTAAAAAACCCTAGAAATAAACTCTAAAACTAAAATTATAATAGCTATCCTTCAAAATTGAATAAAAATTAAAAATTAGAAATGAGAATAATTTTGCCCTCCATCACCTCTGGATATATGCTCATCTTACAATATTGTCCTCTTGACTATGTTCCACATAACACAATTTTACACTATGATTTCGTTCATTTACTCAAAAAAAAGAAATAGAAAAAAAGCTATAATTTATTTCAATGAAAGATACATGAAATGGAAATAGTATGAATTTTTCCATATACTTTACAAATGAAATACATGCATATAATCCTACTTAATCCTATTAATACATGCATTTAATCCTTCTTTTTTTTGGGTAACTTAATCCTTCTTAATCCCACCATTCTTGACACGTATGATTCGAGATGATCTCATAATTCACCGAGATTACTATAATTTTCTGGAGTGAAAGTTCAGTGGCTTTGATCTTTCACTAGTTATGATAAGTGAATGATGTGTTGACTTGGTATTTCATTTTCCATTGTGTAACTTGCATTCCTCAAATTAGTTTGCTTCCGACGTACTTTATCAGCCAATAGTTTGCATATTCATCTGATATTTTGCTTTCGTGCTCATGTATTTACGTGGTTATCCTCATTGTAACATGCATTCGTCTTAATTAATTAGTTTGTTGCGTCCTGTTAATTTTAAGTTATGAACAGTACGGAAACATTGTTTTAAATGGAGTTTAAATGAGGAAAACCCTTGTGTATGAGAGTTCTGTATGCTCTACATGTTCTAATTGTGTCAAAGAAGAGCTCATGGTGAGGGAGAATATATCAAAATTAAAAATGTGGGGCATTTTGTTATTAAGAAAGTATAGCGTAATCCAAACGGGTCAGCACTGTGTTGAAGAGAGTGGGACTCACCAGTGGGATCATGGTTTCTTATGATGGCTCCTACTCTCTCTATCACTATCTGGCATTTCATGGGATAGTTGATCTAATGGAGTATGATTTTGCATTGGATTGTGGTATACTTTCCCTCTATTGTTGCTGGTCTGTTTGTCTGTTGAATGAATGAATGAATTAATGGCATGCCTCTTTTGTTACCTGCATTTCTAGTACTTAGAAGCTTGTTTTCCTCTTGTCTGCTTCAGTTTAGACAAAATGGGAGCCCATTTGTCAGAGTCAGCTGTTTTATTTGCGGCAATCCAAAGAGTAATCATGGCATTACCTGTAATGATTCATTTACTTCTGTACAGGTCAGTTAAGTCTATCTGATTTTTTTTTAAATCAATAATAATCAGAATTCTTATTTATCGTAGCTGCATTAGCATCACTATTTGCTAACAATGATACTCATTATATGAAGACGTGTTCATAGCAAGCCAAAACCTTGCGAAAAGAATGCTTTAATTGATTGGAAGGTCAGAACTTCCCAAGTTAGTATCGCAAATGTGCATATTTTAATAGAACCCTCCATTTCTTTGTTTCTCTTTGTTTGTTCATATAAGAGGGACAATAGGATACTAAGTTTGTGAATTATGAAAACTAGCAAAAATGCCCGTGTGTTGCACGTGTATTTTAGAAGCAAAATACATTATTATTATTCGAGTATAAAATATAAATTATTAATTTCAAAGACATACCCCATACCAAAAAACTCTAATTTAGGAGAAAAGCCTATGTCTGAAAATCCTATTCCATAGTTAAGGGAACCTTGTGGTTAGGGTGACAGTCCCGCTTCGGAACCTCGATCTCACCATTCATGCAAGAAGCCTATGTCTGAAAATTCTATTCCATAGTTAAGGGAACCTTGTGGGTAGGGTGACAGTCCCGCTTCGAAACCTCGATCCCACCATTCATGCAAGGATCTTGTAGGGATCTCGTTTTTTCGATTTTGGGATCTCTCTCCTAAAAAAAGGGACCATGTTCCATCCATCAGTGGAATCCAGTTCCATTTTGAAATAGATCCCTGCTCCCATGAACCATGGTCCAAGGTATTGGTATATTAAAATCCTGGGTTCCATGTTTGTGGGTTCTACTTTCATTAGCGAATGATACCAAGTTAGAGATTGCTATTGTCCAAAGTTCCCATTATTTAGGAATCATAAGTCCCATGATGTTAAAATGCAATCCCTTTTGCGCATAGCACAAAGTTCGATTATTTTTTGTTCTTAATTTGAACTAGGCATAGTCTAGATTGATTCATTTTTTTATTAAGTCCCTATTGTGGAAGCCATCCCTCTTAGTTGTGAAAATATATATTTCATTTAAAATCTTATATTTATGATGTCCTATTGTTTTAGAGTCTTAAATTTGATTACAGTTGTGAAATGAGAATATTTGCTTTCATTTCAAGCTTTAAAAAGCTTCTTTTACATCAGTCAGAGAGAGAGAGAGAGAGAGAGAGAGAGAGAGTAGTTCATCTTGTTCTCTTGCTCTTTCGGAGAGCCAGCCTTTAAGAAACAATGGAAGCAGCGGAGACTACATTCGAAGAAGATGATTCTTGAATGGTTGGATTTTGGGTTGCCGGGACCTCAAAGGGAATGGTGCATACCAAACTGGTGTCATAGCCTGAAGATGTAGTGGTTATAAGAAAGACTGACTTATAGAGCTACATAATTAATCCATTGTTATTCACACAAAAATAAATAAATCCATTATTAAGGGTAGGGGGCACTTGATAAGGGATCCTTGGTAAATGGCAGTTGTGGATCTCGTGGCCAATCAACTGAGGACCTTGATTCTTATACTTTAAGAATCTTGATATTACAACATGAGGAACCATGTTATATGACATACTTAAACCTCAATTCCTTGACCAAGGGAACTCGTACTAGCTCTACTTACAACCTCATTTTTTTGTATAGTGGAGCTTAGATTCCTGCTAGTCAAAATATTGAACCCATTGACATCGGATGTCGCTCCCATACACCTAAGGATCTTGCTCCTTGTCTTATTCATTGTACAGACACCGATCCTAACCCCAGGGAGCTTCCACTATAGGGTGGTTTGGCGAATCCTGAACCGATCCTACTCTTATCTCTCATAAACTGTAATTTTTGCAAGATTATGATGTTGATTGAAAGCTTTAGTAAGGCCTCTATCTCATAAAAAAACCTTAAATTGAACACCCTATTAATTTGACGATTATGTTCATTTAAAAGGTCATTCTGAATTTGGTGATTATCTTCCAAAGCATTATTTCAATCCTTTGGAGAAAATCCACATTAGATAGCACAATAAGCAATATCTGAAAATGAAATTACGAATCGAAAAGTAAAACCTATCAATTTCAACATATCTATTATATATAAAACGCCACATGGCTTGGATGCCATGTGGCATGCAACAAATGCGTTAACAGTTTCAGGGTTTGGATAATAGTCATAAATTCCTCAAAAATGTAATGTATATTATATAGTATTTATTATTATTACCATGTGTGTAACAAGTTTACGGAAACACTTCCTCAGGTACATGCTAAAACATTATGCAATAGATATTAAAGACTACAATTTTGAAGTCCCAACCTTCCAAGCTTAGCATCAACCTCCAGAAAATAGAGATTTGTTAGTTTTAAATTAAAAATGACTTAACAAGTCTTTTATCTCAACTCTCAAGGTATAAATATACAATATGATCCCTCGGGACCATATTAAGAAAGCAAGCTTTACTTTCTCACTTGAATGGGGGAATTAAATAGGCATGATGTCACCAAAAATCATCCGACTATAATGTTTTATTCAACTAACCCATATCATCATCATCATAATTTTAGCTTTTTTCCAATTAGTTGGGGTCGGCTACATGAATCCTGGTTCTCCATTCTGCTCTATTAAAGGCCATATCCTCAGTGAGGCTATAAGTCCCCATATCTTTTCGAACTACTTCCAACCACGTCCTTTTGGGCCTACCCTTTACCCTTTTCGGTCCTTCCAATTGAACTAGCACACATGGCCAGCCCACCTAAGTCTACTCTCTCTCATTTTATCGCCTATTGGTGTCATGCCTAAATTCTCTCGAATAGATTCATTGCAAATTCTATCCCTTCTTTTCTTGCCACTCATATATCTAAACATCCTCATTTCCGTTACACTCATTCTATGAGTATATTGTTTTTTGTCCTCCCAACATTTTGCCCCATAGAGTATATTGTTTTTTGTCATCAAATTAATTGGGTGTTCAATTTAAGGTTTTTATATGAGATAGAGGCTTTAGTAAAGCTTTTAAACTACGTCATAATCTTGGCAAAATTACAGCTTATGAGAGATTTACAATATTTAGGCTTATATTTGAATTTAGCACTTATTTTGGAATATAATTTTTGAATTAGGCTTTTCTTTTAAATTAGAGTTCTTGGTTTAGGGTATGTCTTTGAAATTGACAATTTTTTTTCCAGAAATTATAGTTCTTGGCTTTTCTCTCTCTCTCTCACTCTCACTGACTCTCTCTATGAATGTTTTATGCATACATGTTGAAATTAATAGGTTTTACTTTTGGATTTTGGAATATGATTTTTTGAAATAGGCTTTTCCCCTATATTAGAGTCCTTGGTTTAGGACATGCCTTTGAAATTGACAAATGTTTTTTCAGAAATTATGGTTATTGGCTTCTCTCTCTCTCTCTATGAATGTTTTATGTATATATGTTGAAATTAGTAGGTTTTACTTTTCGATTCTCAATTTCATTTTGAGTTAGTGCTTATTGTGCTATCTGATGTGGATTTTCTTTGAAGGTTTGAAAGAATGCTTTGGAAGATAATCGCCAAATTAAGAATGAGTTTTTTAATGGAAGATAGTCAAATTATTAGGGTGTTCAATTTAAGGTTTTTTTTTAATGAGATGGAGGCTTCAATAAAGCTTTTAAATGCCATCATAATCTTGCAAAAATTGCAGTTTATGAGAGATTTAAAATATTTAGGTTTATCTTTGAACTTCAAGTAGGCTTTTCTCTTAAATTAGAGTTTTTATGTTTGGAGTATGTCTTTGAAACTAATAATTTTAATTATTATACTATACGAATAATAATGTATTTTGCTTCTACAATTGTACAACCCATAGTAGCAATTCGACGACTAATCGTTAAATTTTTCAAAAAATCGACGAATTTTTGGAAAATGTTTTAAATGCCTTTTTTTGAAAAGTTTGTCAAAAAAACATGTTTTTTTCATAATACCGTTAAAAATGCGTTTTTTATGAGGAATGAAAATAAGGGACCAAAAAAATGTGCTTTTTTTTTTACTTGTAATTTTTTTTAGAAAGAGAAACAACTTTTTTCCTAGTTTGTGTAATTTCTAAAAGAACATATTATTTCCGTAAAAAAAAAATCTGACAATGGAAATTTTTATCCGCAATAGATTTATGTATTGTTAGGATTTAGGGTTTATTATCTTAGGGTTTGTGCTATGTTTTTCTTCTTCACATCCACATTTTCAGATTGAAGGTATGATTTTTTTGTTCTTTTTCTTTTTAACTTCAACACAATGCATATTTCAGTAGTTATTGTGCAAAGAAAATACTGTTTACATGCAAATCATTGTGTAAAGGAAATCATATAGATGCAAAAACTCGATTTCTGTGGGCAGATGTTCTTATGGAAGCCATTGGATAACTAAGCTGCCTCATTTGAGATGCATGAGTAACCGGAGCCTCCAAATTTTGTTGTTGAGTGTTCCTATTTACATGCGAGCGATTTCTTCTTCCCTTTCAAATTTTTTTGTTGAGTGTTTCTTCTGCCTTGCAAAAACCTTGTGCAGCATGATTTCAATGCTTCCACTGCCTCATCCTCAACGGCCATCATGGTGTGAACTGAGTGAAGAGAGAGTGAGAGAGAGAATATCTACTCAATGAAAGCTATAAGCAGTGAATGGAAGGGTTGGAACCATAGTTAGCAAGTCGGGGGGACTTTGAATAAATCGGGAAAAAATCGTTTTTGTTTTAAAAACTCGATGAAAAAATCGGATAAAAAATATGAATCGGCAAAAATACTTCATGTAAAGATATCTCCAATATATTGGACTAGGCTCAAAAAATCGGATAAGTTAAAATGTTAGAAATTTTGAAATTCTAAAATATAAAAATTATGTTAAAGCCATCAATAACTAATCCATCCATAAAAACTTTACTAGACTAATATAATTAAGTCAATTAATTTAGATGACTTATGACTCTCATCCAATCATCCAATATTTAATTTAGATGCTATGTTATTTTGAGCCAATTTAACCCTAAAAGTCAATTTTCCATCATTCCCGACT